CCAGGTGCTCACCAATGTCCATTGACAAAGCGCCAGCGCCACCACCAAATCCGTATCCCTTAGGGCCGAAGCGTCGACCATAGCACTGCTTGCACCAGAGGGCATTATCGTGGGCGTTGACGTTCACTGAGTCCAGGCGCTTGTTGCAAAGGTTGCACTTGAAGCAGACCTTGTGCCACTTGTTGCCGCCGGCCAGCAGCTCCTCGGCGGCGTACACGGGCTTGTTGCAACGAAGGCAGACGTTAGACATCTTGGCTGTCAAAGAAAGGAATCAACATGAGATAAGATCTTTTTTTAAAATTACTTTCATTATTTCTATATTTAAAATTATTTAACTTAAGTAAAAAATATTCACTAAATTTATTGAAATTTTTAATAATCTGATATTTTTTATTTTAAATACTCTGCAAACTATAAAAGCATAAGAGTATTAAAAACAATGTTGAAAAATGCGGATATTAAAAAATAAATTTAAAACTGACAATCACTGAGAGCAAATGAGCGAAAAAGAATTCGAGATGAAGTCATGAAAACATATAAAAAATTGTTTTGTAAAATTTAGCTGATATGAAGAGGAAATCATCAAACAACTACACGANGCACGCGGGTGAGAAACCAATGGGCCAATTGAGAGGTGTTGTAGTCATTCGCGTTCGGCAAAGTACCGTACATGGCAGTTCATTTGGTGTTTGTGGGACAGTTTTAATGATGAGGAGGAGGAGGAGGAGGGGATAAAGTAGCTGTTCACTGACAAAATGCGTGCACCGTTTTCTTCCGATGAATGTGCAGCGATGTGCCGACAAAAGTGCGACTGAAAGTGAATAGGCAAATTGACTGTTGACATTCAAATTAGCCTAGCACTATCACTGTGTTTGTCCCTGGCATTCGATGGCTTGGCAACAAATGGCGGTGATTACCACCGCCAACGCTTCCAAATGACTTCCTATCTGATCTGGTCTGCTTTTAATTGTATTGGAATTGCCTTTGTGCTGTGCCATTTCGATTATACCAAAAACAATGCAGTGAGTGTATGTCCCACACAAAAAGGTGCCACCATTGAATGATTCATTTGATGGCAGCAATGGCAGCGTTTTTTGGTGCAATTCAATCTCAAACCATTGGGGAATGATAAAGGATTGTTGCCATAGGCATTGTGTTGATTATACCTACAGAGTTCTTTTTGTCTTTGTTTAAAAATGAAAATCATATCTCAAACATCCGGTGAATTTGAAAATGTTTTTTTGGAAATTTTTATTTTAGTCTCGAGCAGAGGCGTTTACGTGTGAATAAGTTAAATTACCATCACTTGAGCAAGGTGTTGTGTTCAATTAGCTGTAATGCGATTTTTTCCCTTTCAAACAGAAGCCGCCTAGCATTATTTCTAAATTTGCCACAATCAAAGAACAATACCAACTCGCATTTGCTGAAAGGAGAGAAGAGCAATCAGGCAATCTATTCACGTCTCTTTTCAATTGGCCACTGTTCAATTGCCTATTGAAGTGTAGCAACACTGAGGATTGATGTGTCGATGCCGTTGCTGTTGTTGTTGTCGTCGTCGTGCTGGTTGCCTGTCACAGCCTGCTAATAGCTGAGACAATTCATCATCTGCTGACGGCCACCACTGCTCGTCATGCAATCGATCGTCGTCCACTAATCTGATTAACTTGGGCACAGCTTGATTGATTGACGCAGCTCGACGCTGGACGTAATACATGTTCATTTGGCACTTTTCGCACTTTGCCTTGAACTGCCGCTATTCATCAGCAAACAAACACACAGTGAGCGACCTGTCAACAGGACACAGTAGTCCATTACCTTGTCTGCATGTGCCTATTAGATGCTAAGACAGAAGAAGACGAAAACGAAGAAGATGGCATCGACTAGTGCACTAATGGCATGCGCCGCATACTGAGAAGAAGAATGGCGTGCACAGTAGTAGTGGTAGTGGGGCTTGATTGTTGTCACGTGGCTTACGTGGCAGGTGAGAGAAAGAGAGCCGATGAAGACTAAATAGTGAGTGAATGAAAACTTAAAAGTAACCGGGTGTCTGCTCGTAAGTAGTGGAGATGTGTCAAGTGCCATTGGCAGTCACATACAGCCTGTGGAAAGGGAAAGAGGCAATGGCCACACTGACCGCCAAAATACTCGCCAAATCACGGTCACTGTCAATAGCGCAGCAGCAGACTGGAGCAAAGAGGAGTGAAAGAAAGCAACACCTCAGTGGCTTATTTGTTTTTAGCAAAACAGTGTAAACGGCTTTCCATTGTAATGGGCAATAGTAGGCTAAACTGTGGGCTAATTTAACAGTGTGGTCCAGTGGGCCCCTTTCGTTTGACTGAAATAGAAGCCGTCTTTTGTCTTAAAGCGTCCTTGTCCGTCTGCTAAAGCGGTGGACTCCCCCCTTTTCAAGCTGTCAATATTGATCTACTACAGAGACTGGCAAGCGTATATCGGCGACGTCGGCGATAATTAAGTCACAGAACAAACCTGATTAGCACTACTACGATGTCACAGCTAATTGGTCGCAGTGATGTAACTAGGTTACACCAGTTGATGATGATGATGATGATGACTACTTGATGGCTACTGCATATTTAGGGTATAGGTCAACGAGCTGTAATTGAGTTGTCTCTGTGACAAGCAGACTAGAAAAGTCACTTCTTTTGGCTGACTTAAGCTGTTCAATTAGCATCTATTGATTGAGAGCAGTAGCAACCAAGTGAATATTCTTTTACCTGTTTTTTTGTGTTCGGTCAGTGTTGTGATCATTAGGCGATAAATTGTGTACCGCACTGCAGCTAATTGGCAAACACAGTGGCTCACACTTGGTGGGACATTGGTGTATTGGTCAATAGATAGTGCACATTGATGCTGATATCACTGTGGAATTGATTTGTCACTGACCACTGACTACTTGCGATCGATGACTTGCGTGCCGTTCCTTCTCCATGGCCGCACACACTCAGACATACTCACTGACTGTGTCCACCAGGTATGAGCACTTCTCTTCTTTTTTTCTTTGCCATGGCCACTTGACAGCGCCAGTGCATCAGCACTGGGTGAGTGAGTGAAGGAAAAGGGGAGAGAGAAAGAGAAAGAGAAAGGGATGCTGCGAAAAGCCTTGATTGAAAGGCGAGCAAGGAATGCCATTTTCAATGATTTGATGCTTTACATTACCGCAACAAATCTATCCATGACCTTTACCCAGAGTGGCAACAGCAACAACTGTGTCCACACTGGACACTTCTACTACTTTCTACTTTAGGCAACTTCTTCTTCTTCTTCTTCTCCATCCTCACTGCGCTGCTCAAATGTGCTTCAACAAACTCGTTCTCTTTAGCATCTTTTATCGGCAACGGCGGTGGCCTGCACACTTTCTCTGTCCAGTGATGCCGTTTTCACTTTCACACTACCGTGAAAATGCCGCCGTAACTGACGCCCACTTTGCCACTGGAACTGCACAGTGTGTGCCCACGAATAGCAGCACACTGATCTCAAGTGCTAAAAAAAGTGGGCGCTCTGTTGATCAGTTTGCCTGACTGCTTGTGTGTGTGTGTTCTTCTCAAGTGCCACCAAGTTCAGTGGTCAACTTCAGCGAAAAGATATAAAAGCCGCCGTAGTCACAGTTGGAGATGCTGCATACTCGACCAGCTTCGATCACCCAGTCATCAAAGAGAAATCATCCACTGAAAATGAAGGTAACAAAAGAGTTGTTTGTATTTTTCTCAATTTCGCTTCATGGGTATTACTTCCACAATTTCCCTCTCTGCAGCTGACCACCTCCAATCTTCTGGTCCTCTTTCTGCTGCTCAGCATCAGCATCAACCTAAGCAGCAGTCACTTCAGCAAGAAGCACCTCATATTCGGGAAGCTGAAGCTGAAGAAGTGGCTCATCCCCAAGCTGATCATCGGCAAGTCCTTTGCGGTGAAGGGCGCCCTCTTTGCCAAGCTGCTGCACATGAAGAAGCCGAAGAAGCAGTGCTGCATGATGGTCGTCCAGCAGAGGCCATACTACCCGCCGCCCATGCCCTACTATGGAGGAGGAGGAGGTGGTGGCGGAGGTGGAGGACAGTACTACTAAACATCTGGCCATCATCTCTTCCCTGCCAATCATCATCATCATCATCACCACCATCTGTACATCAGTTCAGTTCCCACCTGGTCATCAGCAGGNCTGCACATGAAGAAGCCGAAGAAGCAGTGCTGCATGATGGTCGTCCAACAGAGGCCATACTACCCGCCGCCGATGCCCTACTATGGAGGAGGAGGAGGTGGTGGCGGAGGTGGAGGACAGTACTACTAAACATCTGGCCATCATCTCTTCCCTGCCAATCATCATCATCACCACCATCTGTACATCAGTTCAGTTCCCACCTGGTCATCAGCAGGCTTTCTTTCTCTCTTTCTCATCTATTTATTCCATCCCCATATGAGTTCTTCTTTTCCTCCTTCTTCCAGAGTAGTGTGTTCCTCCTCTGTAGCCAAATTGATTTTGAGACTTGAGTGACTTATATAAATCAGTTTTATTTCCCAAGTCATGAATACACAGTGAGTTAACATGTTGCATGATGTAGATGCCTTATCTATCCAGTAATAAAGTTATTCATCAGTGAACAGTACTTAAAGTATTTTTTTCAAAACATTTCTAAACTTTTTAGAAGCGGTAGCTTCTTCGTCGCGGTGAGCGAGAACGAGAGCGAGAGCGAGAGCGTGATCGTGAATAGCGTCGGCGTCGGTGGCCATCATCTCGTCGGCGATAGAAAGGCGAAGGTGAACGACGGTGACGCCTTTCATAACGCCTATTGTTGTTGTCATAGCGCGTACCGTCACGACGCCGGAGACCTCGGTTTCTTACCTGATCATTTCTGCCCATGTATATGCCTGGGGTTGGAGAGTGGGCACGGGCAGTAATGGAAAAGTCCACGCGAATCCGGCGATTGTGGAGAGATATTCCATTGCACATGTACTTGGCAGTTTCAGCGTCAGCTTTGTCTTTAAAGTAGATGAACGCAAATCCACGAGAGCGACCAGTGTGCGAGTCATGGACAATCTGCAAGTCTTCAATTTGTCCATACGTTGAAAAGACGTTTCTTATATCGATTTCTTTAGTTTGCATTGAAAGGCCAAATATGCCCAGGCAACGATTAGCAGGAGGATCATTGCGTCCGACATTATCGCGACAGCCAAAATAAACTGGTGAGCGGGAACGAGAGCGATCTTTACCAGAACTACGAGAAGAGCTGCAAAAACAAAAGTCGCAAGGATATATTTAAATAGAAAACTTGTTAACTTACTTGCTTTGGTTGGATCGACTGCGAGAGCGGATTTTGCGTTTATACTGACGTTGGCGATGGACATTGCTTCTGCTTCGGCTTCCACTTCGGCTTTTACTTGAGCTGCGAGAACGACTCCGAGATTTGCTTCGAGATTTGCTCCGAGAATTGCTTCGACTCGAGCTTCTTTTTGAGCTTTTTGGGCTACTCAAACTTCGACTTGGGCTTCGCTTTGGGCTTTGACTCGGGCTTCGAGATTTGCTCCGACTCGAGCTTTTACTCGAGCTTCTACTTGAGCTTTGTTTCGGGCTTCGACTCAAACTTCGACGAGGGCTCTGTTTTGGACTTTGACTCGGGCTCCGGCTTTTACTTTCAGAAGTAGAACTGGAGCAAAACCCAACCGGTTTCGGCGAGTGCTGCTCAAGCACAGTGTCTTCCATTTTGATGTCTATCTTATCTCCATCACTAGGTAGTGTTTCTTCCTTGTTAAGCAGCGCTTCTTCTTCTTCTTTGATTGGCGTATTTTCCATCTTTTCGGGAGATTGGGGCTTGACGAGGATACTCATGGCAAGTAGAAAACTGATGTTCGCTCAAAATTCAACAGCAAAAAACTGTGTTGACCCAACCAGAGCATGATGAAATGCAAAACGGTCGTGCAGTCGAAATAGTCTAAAAAGGCGCCAAAATTATAAAAAAGAAATTACTGATGAGAGCATCTGATAACTTTAGTTAATTCGATAATTTCGAAAATTCTTTTTTATTACTGAGAAATAAACTCCATTACACCATTTGCTTATTCACTTTATCATTTCCCATTCACTACTTATCAAATGGAAAACTTTTCTTATTTCGAAGCGGTCAAGGAGGAGGAGGGAAGCAGTCGCAGTACCACAATGGAGATTCTTGAGTCCCTCTCCAATGGTGGTGGTGCATCCGTTCCAAGTGCTACCACAAACAGAGCTCTGACTGCATCACCCCCAGAACCGAAAACCTTTGACGACATTGACTTCTCGCAGTACTACGTGCACGATTCATCGCCGGTCAAGAATGCGGACGAAAACCCCCTTTTCACCTTCTTTCAGGGTGGTAGCTGTTCTAGCTTCGGGGTTCCAGACAACAGTCAACCTGAATCTACGGCATCCAGTGGCAATTCAATTGCAGCAATGACTGATCACTTTGGGTCATCATCAGTGTTCGAAAATGCCGTCAGCACTGAGCAAGAAGAGCAGGCTGCACTAGCACTAGCTGGCCCTAGCACCTCAACTGCCACTGCCACTGAGCCCCGCCAAATAGAACTCCAAGCCCAAGGAATGACTCCAGGACCTGTTCCGAATCCTCAGCAGCAGCCACCCCAAGCGTTCATCTACGGCTACGTCTACTATGGGGAACAGTACGGATTTGTGCCCTTGGTGGCCATGTCGACCACCTCGGCCACCGTGGCCACCTCTGAAGAGCTTCAGCAGCCTTCATCATCGACCGCTCAAGGGCAAGGCATGCAAGGCGGCCATCCCTTCTACTCCTTTTACCCGCAAGCGGCTCTGCCAAGCACAAGCAGTACTGCCACCTGTGAACAGCACCTCCACCAGCACCAGCAGGCTGTGTTCTTTTCAGGTTTAGTGGCGAGCCAGGACAGCCAGCATCAGCCAACGCCCAGCCGGCGTTCCTACAAACGAAAGTCGGTCCCAGCACCTGCTGCCACTTCAGCTGATGGCGCCGAAGAGGACGGCCTAGCCCCAAACGTAGTTCCAGAGCTGAAGGCCCAGGGCACCTTCACGCTGAGCGGCGAGAAGATTCGCCGCCCGCCGAACGCCTTCATGATCTTTGCGAAGGGCCGCCGTCGTGAGCTGCTGTACAGCAATCGAGCGCTCTCCAACAAGGACGTCAGCCGGATGCTCGGCCACGAGTGGAGAGACCTGAGCGAGGAGGAGCGCGAGGGCTTCAAGGTGGCCGCCAATGAGCTGCGCCGCGAGCACCAGGCCAAGTATCCGGGTAAACTCATACTACTGTTGTCAACATTGCTAACTTTGTCATCCACTCTTACCTTTTGCCTCCATCCACCCCAGGCTACTGCTACAACCCAATGGTGGCTCGACGCGCCAAGCAGGAGCGAAAGCTGAAGAACGAGCAAAAGAGAAAGCAGTCGGCAGCCGCCAAGGGCCACGACAACGAGAGCAACAGCATCAGCAGCGGCAGCTTTGACTCGCAACAAGTTGTTCTGGAGCCAGCAGAAGACTGGCCTTCGCAGGTGTTCTCCTCCTCTCAGGCCAGTGTTTCGACCTCCGTCAGTGCCACCGCCACAGACGCCGAGGACCACTTCTTTGACTTTGACGAATCGGAGCTGTACAACAGCGAGGAGGACAGCACCTTCTTGTAGACTCGTGTTTCAGCTGCTCATCTCCTTTGCAGTAGTAGTAGTAGAATACACACATTCTCACACTAACATTTAGACAATTCAGCACTGGCCAACTTGTTGAGCACTTGTAGACCAATATTTACCATTAAAAACCAGTTTTGCAACACGAAAACAGAAGAGAGGTAAAGTGGAGATGAATATGCTTTAATAATGTTTAATAAGAGTAAGAGGAGAGCAAAAGCGCTCACAATTGGCAAATTGAAATAATTAAAATCAAGTTAGGTGCCATAGGTGAAGAGAGAGAGAGGTGTAAAGTGAATAGATGGCAACAGAGCCTTCTCTCTCTCTCACTGGCTGGTGTTGAGGGCGTTGGTGGTGGCGGTGTACTTGGTCACGGCCTTGGTGCCCTCGGAGACGGCGTGCTTGGCCAGCTCGCCCGGCAGCAGCAGGCGAACGGCAGTCTGGATCTCGCGACTGGAGATGGTCGACTTCTTGTTGTAGTGGCCCAGGCGGCTGGCCTCCGAGGCGATGCGCTCGAAGATGTCGTTCACGAAGGAGTTCATGATGGACATGGCCTTCGAGGAGATGCCAATGTCGTTATGCACCTGGCGCAGCACCTTGTACACGTAGATGTTGAAGGATTCCTTGCGCTTCACCTTGCGCTTCTTCTTCTCCGAGCCCATCGAGGTGCGCTTCTTCACCTTCGAGCTGCTGCCCTTGTCGCTGGCGCCGGAGGACTGGGCGGCGGCGGCTGCGGCCAAAGCTGCGGCGGCGGCCTTCTTGCCGCCCTTCTTCGTGTCGCCCGAGGTGGCTGAGTCGGTGGGTCCGGCCATGGTGAGAGAGGAAGAGAGAGTCAAAGAGGGGGAGAGAGAGTTTCGGTGGAGAAATCGGGTCCGAGAGCGACGAGGATGACTTGACGAGAGATGGATGGAGAGCGAGACGTTGACAGTCGACGTGCTCAAACAATGAATGCTGACACAGCACTTTTCGGCGCGCCTTTTATAGCGAGCGCGCCAACAAAGCAAGCGCCGGGAACCGTACACTGACTCAGTAACTGGTGTCACATTTGCCACGTTTGCCACGTTTGTCATCAGCGACCTCAGTACATGAACCTGAGTAGCTGGAGGAATAAGGCGGCGGCAGGAGGCAGTGGTGGTGGTGTGACAAATGGTCAAAGAGAGGACACTAAAAGATGGCCTGATAAGCCCCAGTTCTAGTATTATCGTATAAATTGGCCTGCCTCTCAAAGTGGTAGTCGACTTCTTTCAGTTCTAAACAGCAGCAACTTCATTCCAATCTCACTGCAATCGGCAACAATGTCCGCTCACCGAAGCCAGCGGAAACACCCCTACCAGCAGCAGCACTCAAAGTCTACCGTAAGCTTGTCTCGCTCGGCCAGCCTTCAGGAGAACGCAGCCAGCAGCATCAGTCTCATTGACGTAAAAGTAGAGCGCCTAAAGAAACGCAAGGCTGACTTTGACCTGCAGCTAAAGTCGATGTGCGGCCAAGTGTCTGAGTTGATCAGGGAGATCGAGTCACTGCGGGCACGCAGTGAACAGCTGTTCCACGACAAGATGAAGCACCTGCTGCGGCATTCCAAGCGATCCAAATATCATCACAACAGCAGCAGCCGCAACAAAATACCCAAATTGAGTGACACTTCATCTATCTCAGCGAAAGCTTCTACTCTTCAGCGGCCATCTTCTTTTTCCACTTTAAAGCGAAATTCATCGTTCTCCTCTGCCTCTCTGTCGTCATCGTCTTCCACAGAACATGGGAAACTTCTGCCTCCTGAAAACAAACTCTCCGAACTGGAGCACTTGACGGTGGACAAGATCGGCCAACTGCAGACTGAGCAGATAAACAGCTTCATTGATCTGCTCTTCAAAGAGGCGACTGTTCAAGGCCAGCCAAGCCGTGTCGTTGAGCCGAGCACACCAGTCATTGCTGCTGCTGTGAAGACAACCTGTGAGCTTTCAGTGTATCGTGATGACAGCCACTCTGACCAAGCTGTGCCAATGGTTGTTGAAGAGGAAGAAGACAAAGAAGAAGAGTCGGAAAAGTCGCAACCCGCTTCACCACAAGTCATTGTTGAGCAGAAAATCTCTCCCAAAATACCTGATAGCAGCAAACAACTACTCCTCCCTACGATTATGGAAAAACCGAAAAGTCCCGANAGAGTCGGAAAAGTCGCAGCCCGTTTCACCACAGGTCGTTGTTGAGCAGAAAATCTCTCCCAAAATACCTGATAGCAGCAAACAACTACTCCTCCCTACGATTATGGAAAAACCGAAAAGTCCCGATGACGACTTGGAAACAATTGCTCTGGAGAGAATGTCATTCGCTAATCGACGAAACATGTGGGAGCGGCGATCGCTTGGACGAAGCTACAAATTCCGCCCACCCAAGTCTATTGTCTAACTTGGTGTTTCCCCAGTCAATGTGGCCTTAATTTATCACCATTTACAACTATTACAAGTCACACACACACCTCTTTACTTAATTATTTATTTTTACAATATGTAAATCATCAGAAAGGTACATCTTTCTTTTACCAATCAAGCTTTGATTTTCATCAAAAAATAAACGGAATCTAAAAAACAGCAGCTGTTCAGAAAACATTCATAAACTTCGTCGTGTGAAAACAAACAACTCTTCAAAAAATGTTGACCACTTTCAAAGCATTTTTACGGTGCTTTTCAATTCTCGCCAGTCGCTCCCTTCTATTCTCCACCGGATTGAACTTGCTGTAGAAGAGGTAGAAGGCGATGCAGCGATAGAGCACCAGGTTGAAGAGGAGCATCAAGATGCAGTGGTAGTAGTCATCGTCGGTTAGCTTCATGACGTGCAGTATCACCTGTATTTCATTGGCGCCGCACCTTCCAAAGCCGTACTGCAGCAACATGAAGCCTTCAAAGATGAACCGCGTAATGGCAAAGTTGGAGAGCCACAGGTAGAACGCTGACAGCCGGGAGGCGAGTAGCAGAAAGTTGCTGAGTAGCACAGAAAAGAGAAATACTGAAACGGATAGAATGAGTATCATGGAAATGTTGCCCCTTGAGAGGATGGCGAAGATTTGACCCTGCGACTGGAAGGTCACCGCTGTGATGATGAAGAGGAAGACGATGTTCCAGTAGATGCCCGGAAGGACTGCTTCATAAATGTTGCCCAAGTACACGTAGAGGAGTATGGTGGGGAGAAGAGGCAGCAGCTCGAAGATCGATTTGGTAAGGTAAAACGATCCACAGCTGATCCAGCCATTTCGGTGTTCATTGGTGAACACCTCTAGATCCTTGTGAAAGCTCAGCGCCTGCTGCAGCAGCACAAAGATCATGAAGAAGTTGGCAAAGAAGAAGCTGTACTTGAAGTTGTTCAGCAGCTGAAAGACCACCTCCACTCCCTGGGCATCTCGACTGCACAGCACATTGAAGTCACTCTCCAGGTTGATGCAACCGGTCAGACTGGCCATCCGCCGGTCGTAGAAGAGCGGAATGGCCACGCCGTAGAAGAGGTAGTTGGCGCTGATCAGCAGGTACTCCTTCCAGAGGTGCTGCCGGAAGGCGACAGCGTACCGGAGGAAGGCGACGTACACTGAGTAGAGCGAAAAACGAGTTCGATTTCGCTGCACTCCATCAGGCGTCAGCTGGGCCTCCTGGGACAGCTGCCAAGCGTTGGAAGATGACCACTGAAGATTGCTCCGAGCGACCAGTCGCTGCACTGTTCGGTCTTCAGCGCCGGAACAGGAGTGCCTGATGAGCACCTCGATTGGAGAGCTGCTCAGATCGGAGGAGGAGGACACCGCCGCCGAACTACTGCTCAAATGATGTTCCATCTGCTCTGAAGTACTCCCTCCTGAATAGATGCACACCCCTCCACGAGCGAGCACATACAGATGCTCAAACTTCTGCAGCACCTCCACTGTGGGCTGGTGAATGGTGACCACAATGGCCAGCGGGTGGACCCTGGTCAGTCGGCGCAGCACCCTGATGACCGTCTCTGCGGAATAGGAGTCCAGGTTGCTCGTCGGCTCGTCGATCAGCGCCAGATTGGGCATCTCAGTTGAAGTGAGCTCCAGACCCAGTGCCAGCCGCTGCCGCTCGCCACCACTGCAGTACTCCACCTTGGTGTTGGCCGCAGCCTCCAGACCCAGTTCGGTGAGCCACTTTCGGGCCACTGCCTCGTGATCGGCGCCACTTGCCTGGGCGTTCTTGAATCGAGATGCAAAGAGAAGTGACTGCTTGGCAGTGAGGCCGCTCAGCAGGTGGCCGGACACCTGCTGGGTGATGAAACAGGTTCGAATGGGGCTGAACTTGGACTGGTAGATCTCCGTCTCGGCGCTCAGTCGGGTCTTCATTTGGCCGTTCAGCACTTTGAGGAGAGAGGATTTTCCGGCGCCTGTGGAATGTTTTTATTAGTTTATAAGATTGAAAGTGCTCAAGAAACAAAGGTGTTACCTGAAGTTCCCAGAATGCCGCACAAAGTGTTCAGGTGAAATTGCCCGTTCAGATTGCAGAGAATTCGCTTCCTTTTCTGGGCGACTGTTGACTCCATTTCCAGCATTGAGCTGGTGGCAAACAAGCTGAGGTTTCTCCAGGCGATGAGTATTTTCTTTTCCAGCGCCTTCTTTTCAGGCAACTTCATTGCCGCCTTGCTGCCTCCATTTTGAAGCGTTTTGAAGGTGATAACTTTGTAGTCAAGTGGTGGCTCTTTGTAGCTGGAAATTGACAACTTTTTTCTATTTGAACCACCTTTCAACTTGTTGGAAGCAGTTTTTCTTCTTTTTGAAAACGGCCAGAGAGTGCTCAAATTGCCAAACTTCAAGAACATCACCAGCAGCGTCAACAGGCGAATGGCAGCAATATTCAGCAGCACCCGCATCACGTACACTGAAATCTGCGTTCTGTCGACGTGAAAGACCTCAAACATGAGGGAGAACTCCTTCTCCCAGTCACACCGATCAATGCCATAGAAGGTGTAGAGGATGCCGCGAGCGATGAACTTGAAGGCCACTAGATTGGAGATCTCCTCGAGGACGACGCTGCCCGTCTGCTCGGTGTCCACAAAGAAGCCGTTGATCATGGTGGCGCCGGTGTGGTACACCACCGAGACGATCACCGCCAGCTGAAGGTGGTCGACAAAGAGGAGACCGACCAGGTGGCCGGCACTTTGCATGTAAAAGCAGAGGAGCCACATGAAGAAGACGTAGTGGCCGAAACGGCTCCAATTAAGGCGGTAGCCGTCGACGGCGTGCTGTGACGGCAGAAAGTAGCCCAGCGAGGCGGTGAGGAGGGCATGGACGAGCAGTTCGAGGAAGCTGACGAGGATGGCGGAGAAGTAGAAGGCAAAGAGGCTGTACCAGCCGTTTCGGTGCTCAGAGCGGAAGACCTTGACGATGGAGCCAAAGACGAGGGCGCTGGCGCAGATGGTGACCACGCCAGTGTAGATGAGGATCTGCGCGAGAAAGGTGGCGTTTTCTTTTAGCAGGGTTTCCTCCCGAATTGTCTCGGTGCAGGTCTGGTTCTGAGGGGCGTTCAGTGGCGTACAGCCACTAGATTCGGTCATGGACGGACTAAAGAGCGAGGAGAGCAGGCTGATGTAGAGGGTGAAGAGGAGGATGGAGAGGAGGAAGGCGCGGTACCGGGCGATGAAGGTGACGCGGAAGAGGCGGGCAGTTTGCAGGAAGACATCAGTGAACCTGAAGGGCTTGCGCAGGTTTTGCAGGCCTTCAGCTTGCAGAGATGACTGTTGATGCTGAAGTGCTTTAGAAGTTTGGGCGTGCACTGATGCGGTTGATGCGGAGGTCAGCTTGAAAATGGCAGAGTTTGCGCTGTCTGAATGTGTCATAACATCAGATTTAATTGTGGTTCAAGAGTAATCATTTTGTAAGCTTACCATTTCCGTTGCATGCTATTTTAATCAACGTCTCAATTGGCGGCGACTTTGTATCGGTAATGGCAGTGGGAAGATTACTCTCCAAGAAGGGGCGGATATAACTGGGCGGCCCGGTAAAGATGCACACGCCTCCGTCGAGGGATTTGGCTAGAACGTACAGTTGGTCAAAGAGGAAGAGCGTCTCCTGGTTGGGCGCGTGAATCGAGCTGATCACAGTGATGTGCTGCCTCTTGGCCAGTTGCTGAAGACAGCGCATTGTCTCGTAGGCAGAGACGCTGTCCAGCCCTATGGGAGAAGGTTTTGTACTGATTCCGTCCTCAATCAATCGATCAACCTACCTGTCGTTGGCTCATCGAGAAAGAGAAAATTTGGAGCAGTCAGCGCCATCAGCTCCTGTGCAATGGCAATGCGCCGTTGCTCTCCGCCGCTGCACCGGCAAAATGGCTGATCCAACAGTTTTTCCGGCAGCAGAAGAGTAGACATAGTTTGGGCAATGTGACTGGCAGCCAGCCGTCTTGCTGAGGAGCCATTTTTGAAAGCGAATGCGTACTGTAGTATCGTCCTGATGGTCAGCTCGCCGATGAGGTTCTCGTGGACGTGCTGCGCAATGAAGTACGAGGTGGCCCACTTGGGTTGGACGTAGATTTTGGAGTTGGCGGCCAGGCGGCCACCACCACTCGAACAGCCCTGGCTGCCACTGAGAATGTTGAGCAGTGTTGTTTTGCCCTGCGTTTTAATTTGGAAAATCGTTTTAGTCAATATGTTATTGTTTAGAATATAACGAACCGTTCCAGAACTGCCCAGAATTGCATTCAGGGTGCCGCTCTTGAAGTAGCCGCTCACACTGTGAAGTATGACTTTTTTGTTGTTTGTAAAACTGCTCCAATCGTTCACTTTGTAGTGTATATTTTTCCAGAGAATCGATACATTTTCATCCTCTGTTCTAGGCACATCTAATCTAGTTGTTTCAAACGCTCCATTAACAACTCCGTTGGTCTTCATTGTGACGGCAGCAAAGGTTTGAGCAAACTTAAAAATTCATTCAGTAACTTTCAGTAGTTTTTAAACACTAAATGAACAAGTTTTTTTTAATAAAATCAAAACCCCCAGCACCATCACTTGTTTTCGACGACGCTACCGCTTGCTGAATGAATGAATGAACAATGAACTTCTCGAAGACTATCAATTAGGCGTTTTTGTCAGCTGTAGCGCGCGCACTGCTGTGCTTTTTAATTTCACAGTCCAAGTGGTAAACAGCAAACACTTACAGTTGCATCTTGCTTACGCACAACTTACACACACTGTCGCACAGTTTACCCTCCTCTGCAATGCACTGAAAAACATAGCCGATAGCTATAGGAAGTCGTACTGAGACTGTACCTCAGTGAAAGTATCTAATAACAAAAAATGGCAACTGGTTATTTTCCAATCAAAAGGTGGACACAAATAGTTACCCTATCATTTTACGTAGAACAACATATTTTTTACCGAGAAAATGATGACGCTGCATGCTGAGTGCGAGAAGTGCTAAAAGAGGAGTAGGGGAGAGAAAAAGAAAGAGAAAAAGAGATGGGGAGAGTAACATCTGATTGACAGCAGCTATCCTATCTTTTTGAGAAAGAGCAGAGAGACTTCTGTCCTTGAGGCTTTTCCACACAGTAGCTCGTTTTGTGCACATTTGCCCTCGTCGGTGCACNTTTGAGAAAGAGCAGAGAGACTTCTGTCCTTGAGGCTTTTCCACACAGTAGCTCGTTTTGTGCACATTTGCCCTCGTCGGTGCACTACATCACCACAGCACTGAACACCTATTTGCCAATTGTTATCACATTCACTCACATAACAATGACCATTTTTCATTTTTGAATAAATAGGAGGGGGGATTTTTAACTGGAAACACCGGCGGTATAATCCTTGCAATTATTTTTTGCTTCAAAGAAAAATCACAGAAAATAATATTCAATTGTGTAATTTTAAAGCTAAATGAAACGTTGAAATTTTGCTAGCCACAATTTCTGGCAACCAAGTCTGATTGCGGCGTATCCGGTGATGGCATACAAAGCAACCAGTGCAAACATCAGGTAGAAAAAGGTTTGAGATGCTTCCCATTGCTTAAAATCAGAGGTTCGATTGGTTTTGACGTCGATGTACTCTATAGTTTTCCCACGTTTAGCTTTTGTTGTTGTGTAGCCGAGGATTAGACCAACGAAAAGACTAATTACCGCTAACTTTACATTTTTCTTTATAAAACGATATCCTTTTCTTCTAACAGGAACTTTCTTGATGTTATTTGACCGTTTAAAACGGACAAATTGCTTTGC